ATGCTTATATGTTTATTTAATGTTTATTTAATATGAACCCTCAAATCTCTGTTATTATAAGAACAGTGGCAAGTTTTAGGAGGGGATGTAAGAGTAACAGCACCACCCACCCACCCTTTTCATTGTAATATTTTTTCAAAAATATTTCATCTAAAATCAACAAATATACTAAAATCGACAATAATACTGATGAATAAAATGACTATAATACTGTCGCATGAAATTTTAAAACAGAAGCGCTATTACACGCACTTAAAATATATAAAATTGCTGTTTGAGGTCGAAGGAAAACATGCTAAAGTCAAAAAAGTGCGTCTAGTCGCACTCTAGTATATATATTGGATTTAATTATATGATTGAAACCTAAAATATTTATGATTTTTAGGTGCACCTTAAAGTGCTTATCATTTAAAGGTGCATTCTAAAGTGTTTATCAGTTTTAGACGCACTCCAATGAACTTAAACTTAAAACGTGCTTCCTAAAGTCTCTATTACTAAGGTGCATTTTGAAATGATTCGAATTTCATTTGAAATCAACAAATATTCTAAAGTCGACTATTATACTGGTGAATAAAATGACTATAATACTGTGGAATGAAATTTTAAAAGTGAAGCGCTATTATACGCACTCAATATATATAAATAAATGTATTTTTACGGAAGTGTTTCTTTTTACGGAAGTTCATTTTAGGTGCGCTCATGTCTATATTTCTCAAAATTGTGCTCAACTTAAGAAGTGTTTATGGCTTATAGATGCACCTTAATAAATTTACTTTTTTTAGGTTCACTTTGAATTAATTCAAAGTGCGTTTTAACATAATTATTTTTTTTAGGTGCATTATATATTATTTATAATTTTAAATTGTATTTTTAAGTGTTTTTCATCCTTGACTATTATCATTTTAAGATGCATTTTAACGAAAACCTCCGCGTAAACGAGCCTAATGTCTCCTACTTCTGTTTTTAAATTCTGAAATATTTATCGTTTTTCGATAAGAATTTTTTTTTTAACATTTTAATGAGCCCTAAAGGCCGTTTCCACAAGACGAAATATTCGCGCGAAACGAATTTTTTCGTCATTAAGCATGCGCAGGTTAAACACTTTTGGCAATTATTCTCTTTTTATTCGCTACATCGTTTCGCTGCTGCGAAAAAAAAAAGTCGAAATTATTTCGGCATATTGCAAATTGCCTGAAGCGAAAACCGATCAAGTTTTGAATTTTATATCATGTGATGTCAATAGTAGAAAAAAGCAAAAAACGTTGTTTTTTAAAAAAGAAAAAACAAAATTAGCCTGAGGTTCTTATTTGTTTTAAATGAATTCTAAAAATTGGAAAGCATGAGTAAATTCATCAAATAAGAATCAAGACTTAAGTCAATAATTTACAAATGTAAAGTTTTACACTGTTAATTACGAAAGTTATACACTTCATAAGAATGTTTATCTTCAAGTAATGTGAGTTACTTGAAAAATTCCTTATATTAAATTATTATATTACAAAATATATATCACATCGTACATATAAAGACAGAAATGGTAATATTAATGCATGGAAAGAAATATCCACATGGTTTAAAGTAGAAAGTATGGTAAAAAAGATATAATTGCTTTTAGTAACAGGGTTATTCATTCTTATATGCGCGTCTATTCGTTTTCATATGCGTGTTTATTTATTCATATATGGGTGTTAATTCTTTCTTATATGCGTTCTTACAAGGGCATTTATTCATTTTTATATGCGCATTTATTCATTCTTATACGCGTTCTAATTTATTCTTATAGGCGTTTTTAAAAGCTATAAAAAAATTTATTTAATCTTAAATGCGTTTTAAAAAAGCAATTTGATCGTTTACAATTAAGCAATTTGTTTTGAAACAAGTAAGCGACTTGTTTTAAAAAAATAAATTGTTTTTTCAAAACAACTTTTCCTAAATGAGGATAAAAATACTTGAGAAGAAGTCTATTTACATTTGATGATGGTTTATTAAATTTAGTATTTAGTCTTTATTTAATTTTATTATTAAATTTATTGATTGATTAAATTATTACGTCAATTGTCATTTATCTAGATTTAAATTTTATTATTTGTAATTATTAAATAAATTCAGCGCTAACTCGGTAACAGGGATGCGGAGTCCCAAAAGACTCCGGCTTTATATCTCAACTTTTCTTTAGAGCTCATTTTAATGAGCTCTAAAGAAAGTTTTTTCATCATTTTAATGTGCACGCTTATATGTATTCCTTTAAGGTGCCATCTAAAGTATATGTATCCCTTTATGCACGCTTATATGTATTCCTTTAAGGTGCCATCTAAAGTATTTATCACTTTCATAAGCACTCTAATGAATTTATAATTTTTACGTGCCTTCTAAAGTCTTTATCATTATAAGATAATTTTGAAATAATTCTTATTTTAGTTTTACCCTTAAGAATTTATTATTTTATGATGCCCCATAAATATATACTTATTTTTAGGTGCTCCCTTGATTATATATCACTTATAAATACACCATGAAGTGTTTATATCTTTTAGGTCCGTCGTGAATTATTTTCCGTTTAAGGTGCACTCACAAGTTTTTTTTCATTTTTAGATAAATTCTAATGAATTTACAATTTTTACGTGTTTTTGGGATTGAATAACATAGGGTCGCAAAATGCAAAACAATTTTTTATAATTATTTAAAATTATTTTCTTTTTCAGCATATAGTCATTAAATGATGTCGTTATTATTTTACGTTGTCAATTAAAAATCTTTTTTAAATTGACTTACGTAAAATATTAACGACGTTTAAGTTTATAACGTTAATAATCTATTTTATTTCTTAAAAACATATATCTAAGATAACTTATCAAAAAATTAAATTTCAAAATAAAATAAACACTTTTAAAATAAATCTAAAGTAACCCTTTAACTAATAATAATATGTCATATGATATAAACACCTTTTACAATAAAAAACTATAATAAAAGTAAAGTTTCGACTTAACCAGAATATTTTAAAAAACAGCAATAAACAATTTTTAAAAACATATAAAGTAATCCAACAATATTTTGCGATATACAAATTATTCAACTTTGATATATGGTCAAATATGTTGCATGTCTATAAGAAAGAAAGAGACCTAAAAAAAAAATAAAAAAAAAAAATTAAAATATAAAAAAAAATCATCCGAAAATAAAGCGCATGCCAAATATTCCGATTTTAATTTTTTTACGACCTAAAACAGCAATTTTATATATTTCCAGTGCGTCTAATAGCGCTCTCAAGAATACAGGATTCTTAATAATTTAATACAGACAGTATGGAATTCGCACCATTAACTAAAAAAAATCTATGATTTAAAATTTAATGTTTGTTTTGAGCTTTTTGAAAGTTTTATTTAGATAAAATAATATCGCAAAATGGAACTCGGTGTTAGATTTTAACTTTATTTGCTGGATTTAACTAATTATTAACACATTTTTCAACAGATTTTTATGCTTGATAATATGTATGAAATTGAAATATTTATTAAACTAAAAATAGCCTTAAAGTAATTAAGTTTTTTAAGAAAAAGTTATGGTAAATACTAAAATGTAATTATTACATTTTACTATTTACCATAACTTTTTATCAAGAAATAGTAAAATATATTATATAGTAATATTGGTAAAAAAAAATTATTATAATTATGCTATTTTTTGTTATTATTATTATCAACTTTTAGTATATCGTACTTATTATTACATTCCAATATTTTACTCTTTTTCTTAAGACTACTGAAAATGGAAAACTGTCTTTACAGCTTTAATTTTTAAATAACAGTTAACATAAACTCAACTTTTTGACTTTAAATGACAGTAAGCTTAGTTCAAAAATTTTAAGATTACTGTCAATTGGGTTATTAGAAAACATAAATTTAAACAAGATATAACTATTTTTGAAGTTATTTTAACTAACATAAATCTGAATGTTCTCAGCTTTCTAAATTTTTTTTATTGCTGCTTCGTTTAAATGCTCTGACAGTTTTTCAACAATTAATGATAACATGGTTTCTTAACTTCTATTAAAAGATTCAAATTGCTTTGATAAAACATTTTCATCTTTCATTTGCCTAATAGCATTATCTAGTTTTATAAAGCAACCTATTAAATCTGTCAATCCTGAAATTGGTTTTAAAAAGTATGAATATTTTTTTGTTACTCTTATAAAGCCTCATATCCAAAAATTAAATTGTCCAATCAATATTTTGTAGTGCAATTTAGATGATAATAAAAAAATAAAATATTTTGTTACATTGGTCGAAGATCTTCTAAAAAACAGCTAGCTGTTTTTATGAGCGATATTAATTTACTTAGTATCAAAAAAATAAAAGTTAAGTTTTCTACCTACAGATAACAAAATACAAAAGCCAATTCAGTCTAAATTATTTTTTCCTACTGTTTCTAAGAACAGTTCAGATATAGATAAGTCTGGTAATTGTAATAAAACAATTAAGCTGAAATAATTATCAAAAGACGCCAATGGCAGTGATTATAACACTTATGAATCTAATGTTCCAATAAAAGAAAACAACGGTGTTGACTTTGGATTTTTAAATACAAATCAGTTATTCAAATATCTTATTCAAACTATGTTGTTTTTTATACCATCTACATGATGAAAAATTAAAATTAGGAACAAATGATAATAAACTTTTATCTCTAATTAATAATGTCCAGATTTCAATTAAATACTTCCAAATATTTTTAAAAGGTAAATGCAGGAAAATACATTTTTGCTAACATGCAGTGGCGGATTATCAAATTATGGGCCTATAGGCTTAACTAATTCATGGGCCCTATATACCTATATTTTTCTAAAAAATACGTCAAAAAGTACAATTTTAATTTTATTTATAATAATAATATCTATAATAAAATCTAATTTTATTTCAAAATTACAAACAAATTATCAGGTATATTAGATACTAGTATATATTTTATAAATGGCTGACCCAAAGAAAAAAACAACACGATCAAAAATTCATTTTTCTGCATTTTCGTTCAACAAAGTCTGATAAAATTTCATTGAAGTCACAGCTTCTTAGGATGTCAGATTCAGTACACATAACAGTAAGGGAATTCAGTTTGTCATCACCCAAAGCACTTCGCAGATAGTTTTTTATCCGTTTCAATGCAGAGAATGATCTTTCATCACTGCAGTTGGTGATCATCAAACTGAGGTATATGTGAAGTGCTGTGGCAACATTTGGAAATATATCTTGTAGTGCACTGCTGTTTCTCAAAGCCCGATACATATACAGCTCTATGCTACATTTCAGTTCTTTCTCATTCTGTTGCAAGTACGTATCAGCAAACAAATATTCTTTGAAGTGAAGTATTTCATCTTCAAATGACTCTTCGAAATCATCTACATAAGTATCTATCAAGTTTCTACTGGCTCTTCGCAAATCAGACTGTTCCAGTGATCGAATATTTCTCAGAAAACCAAACTTATCACATACCCCACTGTATGCCTCTGATCGTTTACATAATGCTGAATTCAAGTGATCAAGTACTGGCAAGAAAACCATGACTCGAAATTTCTGCTGTGCCGAAAACACTGTTTCATCAGCTGATCCATCATGACGGGTTAATTGAACACTTCGCTCTCGTTTCCTCTGATTCTCTTCTTTATAAGAAGTTGACCCTGTTATTTCCTTTCCTTTCTTCTCAAAGAAATAAAACTGTGCTCGAAGTGAATTTACATATTCTTTTAGTGAAGTTAACAGTTGAACAGCCTCATTTAGATCAAGTTGTGGACTTTGCAGTTTTAAACTGGTCTTATGAAAGCGATCTAATATGGGTGTCCAGAGTTCTAATAAAATTCCATATTCTAACTGATCCATCTTCTTTGCAATTCCTGCAGCTGTAGTGCGAGCTTCAACCTTCTCCTCGGGGTCCTCAGCAATGTTCTCTAACACTGTCTTAACATATTTAAAGCCTTTGCTCAATGCTTTAGTTGCTGCAGAATGTGCTGACCATCGAGTATCAGAAAGGCGTTTTAGAACTAACTGGTTACTATCCAATCCTTTGGTTAGAAGCTCCCACCGTTGGGTTGATGCATTTAAAAAGACATACAAGTTTTGTACAAAATCAAAAAATCCACTCACTGTTGTCACGCAGTTTACAGCTGATGCACCGACTAAATTAAGGGAGTGTGCAAAACATGGCACATATTCAGCCAATGGGTTCTTCTCTCGAATGCGTGCCTGTAACCCTGAATATTTTCCTGCCACATTGCTAGCATTATCGTAGGACTGACCTCGGCAATATTTTATATCCAACTTTGCTTCTTCCAGAAAGCTGTATAAACTGTTAAACAAATCTTCTGCCCCATGTCCTTTCATGCTTAAAAATTGCACAAACCTTTCTATAGGGCCATCGTTCAAAACGAAAGACACATGACAGCCTATCAACATGAGATATGTCTGGAGTAGAGTCAACAGAAATTGAATAAAATTTTGCTCCACGTATTTCAGACAATATTGTTTTCATAACTTGCTTTCCCATGACATCAATTAACTCATCACAAATTGTTGATGACAGGTATGAAACAGAGTCTTTCCCTTTACCACCATGGTTGTCAATATAACTGGAGAGGAATGGATCAAACTGAGCAATCAACTCCAAAATTCCCAAAAAATTGCCATTAGAACTTGACCCCAATATTTCAGTATGTCCTCTAAATGCGAGCCCTCTTTCAGCAAGGAATTTGATAACTGAGACAACTCTTTCTAGCACAGATTTTGCATATGCACATTCCTGTCTGTATTGCTCAACTATAGCTGAATCTACACATCCTCTGACTTGTACTCTTTGGCTGAATGTGCTTGTTGCATTTCTATGTGCAATGCTGTTTTCATGTGACTGTATTCGTGAAGCTGCATTTTTCCAATCACAAAAACCATTCCTTAAGAATGAATTATCATCAGCAGAAAATAATTTACATACAAAGCAGTAAATGCGAGATGTTGCTGGTGAATAACACAACCATGACCTTGGGACTTTCTCACCATTGCGAGAATGAACACGATAAAAGAGATTCTGTGAGCAGTAGCGCATCTGTTTTCCATCAATTTGCATTGAACTAGTGAAGTCAGCATTTGAATGTTGACAACATTCACTGCCACGAGTTACCCAAAAGTTACAGAATGTATCATTGATTTCCACTTCAGACCATTGCCCAATGTCAGTGGAAAAGGAATTGTCATCTTTGGAACCTTTGGAACCAGCTTGTGCTTCTGGTTTCTGAGAAAGTGTCTCCGCGTCTACCATATCATCAGATTCAGAGTGAGAGATAGATTGAGTGCATACAGCTGCAACACTGTTATCACGTTCAAATTCATGACCAAATTGACCAGGCAAACCACACTGACCAACACATGGTAAAGGTGAATTCGATGGTGGGTCTTCTCTATTGACATTGACACTAATCGTAGGAAAAAGCTCAGTTATTTTAACAGTTTTTGAAATGATTGCTTCTTCACGTTTCTTTTTATCTTCACGGTCTTTAGCTTTTTGATACCCAGACTTGTGATGATATGCCATTATGACCTGAAATCGAAAAACATACAATGTAGATACTGCATTATTATATATATATATATAACGGTATAACTAAAATATTAAGGTATAATAGGCTCAACATTTAAGTGGATTCAAAGCTATTTGTCTAACAGAAAGCAATTTGTATTACTAGAAAAGTCAGGAGCCCTCGATACTACGTGTGGAGTTCCTCAGGGTTCAATCCTAGGTCCATTATTGTTCTTAATTTATATTAACGATATGCATAAAGCAACCCAAAAAATATCTACAATTATGTATGCTGTCAGTAGTGTCAATTTGTTCAAGAATACCATTCTCAGCATAACTGGGCTACAAACTTGATTTTTTAGTTTAAAAATAACATTTGGTTCTGATAAAGCAAAATTTTGACTAAGACAGAGTAAAAACAAACATTTGGGCAGCATAACTGGGCTACAAAATTGATTTTTTAGTTTAAAAATAACATTTGGTTCTGATAAAGCAAAATTTTGACTAAGACAAAGTAATCAACAAACATTTGGGCAGCATAACTGGGCTACAAAATTGATTTTTTAGTTTAAAAATAACATTTGGTTTTGATAAAGCAAAATTTTGACTAAGACAAAGTAATCAACAAACATTTGGGCAGCATAACTGGGCTACAAAATTGATTTTTTAGTTTAAAAATAACATTTGGTTCTGATAAAGCAAATTTTTGACTAAGACAAAGTAATCAACAAACATTTGGGCAGCATAACTGGGCTACAAAATTGATTTTTTAGTTTAAAAATAACATTTGGTTCTGATACATTCATTTATCCATGATACATACCTATATCGATATTTGCTGTAAAAAAATTTTGCAATCATCTTCCGAACCGGGCCCCTATGGCTGACGGGCCCCTAGGCTTCAGCCTACTCAGCCTAATGGATAATCCGCCACTGCTAACATGGTTTGATGATTTTTTTGACTTCGTAACTCTAAAATTAAAAATGGTTTATATTGCCTTCCATGAACACTTTTTTTTTTTTTTTTTATGAACATTTTTTTTTTGGTACAACTTTACCTAATAAATATGCTTTATGTAAATAGTTCAAAGAATCATTCAATACCTGGTGTAATACTGTAAAAATTTTCAATGATCATAAGGAAACTGTTAACAGATTACACATTAAGTGCATGAATTGTTATAATATGCTTTTATTTAGAGCTAAAAATAACACTTTTTCTATTGATTTCTAGGAAGCAGCGTATAGAAGAAAGAAAAAAAAAGCTCGCATTATTTGATAAGACTATAATTTTTTTAGGTCGAATTGATATGACTCTACGAGGTCATAGCGACGATAGAAAATATTAAGAAGAAATTGGAGAATCTTTAAAAATTACAGGGCTGGGTAATTTTATTAAGCTTTTAAACTTTAGATTTGATGCAAGTGATTCAATTCTAAAGGAGTATCTTCTCTTTGCCCCAAAAATTTTCACATATATTTTAAAGACCATTTAAAATAAGTTAATTGAGTGCGCGTTAACGCAATTGATGAAATTTTAATAAATGATTTTAAAAAAATAAGTACTTCTCCATTTTTGCAGACGAGGCTTCAGACTCTGAACGATAGAACAACTTTCTATTATCATACGTTATATTTAATTGAACAGTAATGCTAAAAAAATTTGGTTTAGATATAACAAAATACAAAAGCCAGTCTTATGATTGAGCTGTTTCAATGTCAGGTGAATACAAAGGTGTTTCATCTCTTATAAAAAATGTTAATCCTAAGAACTTATTAGTCCACTGTGCCTCACATAAACTTTGTTTAGTTGCTCGAAAGAGTTGCCAAATCCAGCAAGTAAAAAATTTCCTTAAGCAAATTAAAAATATATCTTATTATTTATTTTTTTCTCCTAAACGGAGTAATTTTTTAAAAAAATACTTCCTGGTAGTATTAAATATTTATTTATGTTTATTTGAAGGCAAAACTTATTGGCACATGTGAGTACAAAAAGCTTTGTGGACTTGATGCGTTTTTCAATAACTATTCTGCAATTTTTTTTGTTTTTGAAGAAATGGAAGACAATTATTTAAAAGAGTACAATAAAGAAGGATCTTCAAAAGCGTCTTTAATAAAGTTATTGACAAATGTTTAATTTATAGTTTCTTTAGTTTTAACTAAACAACTAATGGATTACTTTTATGGAATTTCTGCCACCTTTCCAACTAAACCTTTTAATATTTTCCAGCAACTGGATAAAATTCAAAATTGGACTAAGTGTTTAAAAAAAAAAAGGGAAACTCTGATGCTTACCATAACAAATGGTTTCAAATTGCTACTGTATAGGCTTAAACATTTGTTATTGATGAAAAAAAATCTAGAGTATGCGGTATTCAGAAGCATAGAGATAACCAAATATGTGATACTATATCTGATTCGTTGTTTTAAACTTCTAAACTGTGAAAATAAATTTTTATTAGCGAATTCTAACTATTTACCGTTTTAAAAATGTTTTTTATCTAAATTTTATATAAAACTTATATTTCATTCGCTATTTCTATTAATTCTTAATGTTGAAAGTGTTATCAAGTGATATAGGTTGTTACTTTTATTTTTTACTTATTACTTAACTTGTTGTTTTATATTTTGTCTTGTGTATATATTTATTAGAATTTAAAAGAAAAAAAAAGTAAAAAAAATTATAAAAATGTTATAAAAAAATTTGTGCATAACTGCCAATAAAAAAAAAGAATCCACAAATGGAGGACTAACCCTATGGTCAATGTGTTGTCTTAACAACATTGCTAATACTTTAATTAAACTGCGCATTAAGAAAAGGAAAGAATCTAGAAATGGAGGGCTAACCTCAAGGAAAATTAATAACACTTTACTTAAATTGTCTATCAAGAAAAGGAAAGAATCCAGAAATAGAGGCCTAACCTGAGGCAACATGATAGTTTACTGATGAGTGCAAAGTCCTATGGCTAATCTTCTCGTTGGTGCACTTCGTTAAGTGAATTAGACAAGTAATATGCCTAATTTATGAACTAAATAGCCAGGGCATTAAATGAACGACTAAAAACAATACAAAATAATCGTTGCCAAATAGCTTTGCATTAGCAGAATAGTGTTGAACAAGTTCCTAGTAAATAGACTTCAATAAGGTTAGACTTCAATGTAGGTTTACAAGTCGACTTTTTGTATATTAATTTTTTTTACCTAAAAGGCTTTCAAGTATTTTATCTGTAATGATTTAAATGTATGTGTTTTTGAATTACGCAATTGTTTAGAAACTTCTAAAGAGAGATATCAAAATCAATTTTTTTCTATGAATCATCATTTCTATGAATAATATGAATCATCTCTGCAACCTGTATTTGATTCCTTATACAAAAATTCGAAGGGAACACTACAAATGTTTTGTCTCCGACAAAAGAACGAAGTTTTTAACCACATTCGTATAAATGAAAATTCGTGAAAGTAATTAAATAAAGAAGTAAACCAATAATTTAGTCTCACAAAAAAATGGTGCAACTACTTTTTGCCTCTTCACAAAGAAATTGCATAATTAAATCAATTTAAAAAAAAAACAGAAAAAGGGAGGTAAAGAAAGACATAGAAACGAAAAAAAACTTCAAAGAAAAGAAAGTAAAAGAAAAACGTATCAAGGAAATAAGGAAAAAACCGAGTAAAAAAAAAAACTTAAAACCGAATAAAAAAGAAAAATAATAAAAGTATTTAAATAAATAAAGACAAAGAAAAAAGAAAAAAAAAGAGACAACAGAAAAAATTTTATATTATATAAAAATAATTACTTATAACTGTAAAATAATCTTTGTTGTATTGTTTTACTGTTTCTTGGTATTATTCCTTTCTTGTTTCTTGCTTCTTTTTTTTTTGCGTTCTGCTGTGTCGTAATATTGTAATTTTTATTTTTAGTTTGTGTATATTTATCATATATTTTATACAAAATGATACTTATTTTAATACTATTTTCTCATGTGAAATGTTTATAATTTTCTTTTCTTCTCTCTTTCTAACACTCTCTTTTTTTCAATATTGTTCATTTACTATAAACACTTTATAACTTTTGTTGCTTTTTTTTGTATTGTGTTTTTGTTTGTTACGTGTTTTTTTGTATCTGTAAAACTACTATGAAGCTGTCTACTTTCCTACTAATCCTATAAAGTGCAAGCTATTCCGACTAATCCTGTTAAGTTTTTTGCCTAATACTGCTAAACTTATTAAGTTCTGAAAAATAATTATAGGTAACTTAATTGATCCTCGCCCGCATCCGCAGTGGAATTGTTGTCAACAGGCTAATATTAGGGAATCCAATTACGATTATCGATTACCCGAGTAATTGATACTTTATAAGCAAGTTCCGAGTAGTCGACTACTCTGAATATTTTTTTCGAGTATCGAGTATAATATTTAAACAAAAAAAATGTAAATATTGCACATTCATTTAACTATTAATCAATCGAGTATCGATATTCTACCGTTCTTTCTTCTTTTACTTCTATAATAAAGTTGCTTAGCAACCGTTGAGTTTCAAAAGTTTTTTTTTAACTAAGTTACATAAAATAAATAACATTTGTAATTTGAAGTTGTACGACGTAAAATTTTCAAGAAAGTGAAATATTTAAAAAAAAATTTGTAAAATAAATAAAATAAATACTTAATTTTCTAATATATATACAGCTGCCTTTGGTAAGTGAAGTGTTTTGAGTAAAATGTACTAAATTTCAAGTAATAAATGCATATTTAAATACGTATAAATTTCAATTTTCAATTTTTATGTTGTAATTTTTTATTTTAGTGATTTATTTACATATACCCAGAAATGTCTTCGAAAAAATCAGAGGTATGGAAATATTTTACAAAAAAAGAGAAATCGGAGTCGGTTTGTAACATGCAAATCTATAATTCAACGTCCGGGATCTAATACTACTGGAATGATTAATCATTTAAAATTACATAGCATATCTTTACAAAAAAGAAATTTGGGCGACACAAATGAAACTGATGCG